GCAAAGCTATGTTCAAGGAATCATCATGGTTCACTTCTCAACTGATAATTTGGGAAGATGAGATTAGGAAATTTAAAGTGGGATTAAAGACTAACATCCTCAATCTAGTGACTCCTCTCAAATTAAAGAGCTCTAACGAACTAGTGCAAAAGGCTTTGATCATAGAGAAACGTCACATGATAGGGGGAGCTCATCATTGACAAAAGCAATTGAACTCTATCCTCTATTCAAAGGAGGAAATAAAAAAAATGTTCTAATTTTTTTCAACTACGTCTTGGTTAAATTCAAACTTTGGTCCATGTGCTAAATGTTGAGGGATGCAACCTACACAAAAATTTTCAAGTTAGAGGGGAGATTTTTAAGTGTGAGGGCATTGAACATCTAGTAGCCAACTACCAAAATATAATAAGTTTACTCATTAATGTGCTTGTCCAAGAAAAGATCATTGAAGCTCAAAAAGAGTATTCCCATTGGGAACATTAGATTAAGAACTTTTTGACATTTGCTCAACACGCTAATTTATATCTTGAAAGTTTAACCTCACAAGCAAAACCTTAGACATCATTCTAATCATGACCACTTCTTAAGGCAATTGCCTTAAGAAAAAGATTGATTTCAGATTTACCCATATGGATTCACTCTTCTTTTATGAGAACACTAATAAAAAAACAAGTATGAATTTATTTTCACTTAAAGAAGCATCCATATCAAGAAAATTTGAGGATATGTTTTCAGAAGACTTTTTAGGGCTCTCACTTAAGAAAAAAATAGATTTTACCATCAAATTAATACTGAAAATTTCCTAAAATCCCAAAGCTCCATATCATATAGGCTATAGCAACTCTAGAACTCCAAAAGGCAAAAGTGCAACTACAAGTGCTATTGAAGTTGGGATTTGTACGAATCAACGTGTCACCTTGGGGGAGCTTTGATTCTCTTGGTAAAGAAAATAGGATGGAACTTTTTGATTATCTATTAACTAGAGAGGTCTAAATCAAGTTGACTATTTAATATAAATATCTTTTGCGTAGGATAAATGATTTGATTGACAAATTACAAAGCTCAAAGGTATTTAGAAAATATATTTATGATTTGGGTATAACTAATTAAGAATTAGAGAGGGGAATATGTCAATAGCTATTTTTTGAACAAAATATTGCTACCATGATTTTTGAATTGTCAAATGCATCGATAGTCTTCATGAACGTAATGAATAGAATATTTCATTCATACATAGGCTAATTCTTTATAATCATCATTTTGATGATATCTTAACATACTCTGATAGTTTAGAAGCTTATGAACACAAATTATGCTTAGTGTTATTAACAATATGAGTTCGTTGTTTCAAGCAGTGTTTAGAATGTATATGAATTATGGTTTGAAAAGGTGATTTTTCTATGTCCCACATTTTAAGTAACAAATGAGTTGTGGACCCTTAAAAGACAAAGCAAATGACCCCAGGTCCCTGTTAGACCGGTCCATTGGACCAGTCCAGGCGGGACCAGTTCAGTGGCGGAATCGCAGAACAGGCGGAGATTTCCGCCAGAATGAGCGGCCGACCGCTCATATAGAGCATTTTAGGAAGGATTTTTGGGGGGTTTCAGAGAGAAATTTGAATGTAGGGACTGTTTAGGGAATTCCTTTTGATTTGTATGCATTAAATAGATGTTTTTCTTAGGGTTTGGGCATCTTGAATTTGGCTGAAATTTGAGATCTCCTAGATTTAGGTTTTCTTTGGGCTCTTGGCGTTGCCAGAGATTTGGGAGAGAACGATCCTCCTCTCGAATTGAGGATCAATTGTATCTTGCTATTTTATTCTTCTACTAGTAAAATACAAGTTGTTCTTCCAATTTTCTCTCAGCTTTTCCCTGTTTTTCCCACTGTTTTGCTTTTTTTCCTGCTGTGAACAGCAGTTTGCATCGAGATTTTCTGTAGAAGTGATTTGGAAATACTTAGAAATCAAGTATTTCCTATCAGTCCCCAACCAACATTATTGAATTAAGAAGGTTTTTAGGACTAGCAAGCTGCAGTAGAAGTTTTGTGGAAGGCTTTCTTGTATTGCCTCACCGTTAACTTATTTAACAAATGAATTGGTTAAATTCCAGAGTATTAATGTTAAAAGTTTTTTAAAGAGCTTCATAAATTCTAGTTTCAACATTTATATTGTCTATAAATATGATTAAGGTTGGAGCCATCTATAGTATATGCATGTTATGCTTATAATGATTAATGATGCCTCAAGCAAATGACCGATTAAGTTTGGAGTCATCTATAATACATAGCCACTTATCAAGAGATGCTTCATACTCAAAGAAGATTAGAGAAGCTCAGGCTCTAGAATCTGTAATATTGTTAAGTATTAATAAAAAAATAAGATGATTATGTGATTTATAAAGAGGGGATACGAATGATTAGATATAGGTGGTTTGCACCTAACCATGAATAAATTAAGGATGGAATACTGAAAGAGGCTTGTATACCATGCTAAAATATCTAAGTGGAGCACGAAAAGCCTGGAGGGTTCTTGCAATGTTTAGAAATCCTAGAATGAAGTTTGAGTATATCATTGTTGTTTTTATATGTAGATTATCAATGACGTAAACAAAAAATAAATGGTGTGGTTTGTATCAGGCATATTGACTAAGCCCACTCATTTTCATCACGTCGGAATGAATTGTTCTTTAGAGAAGCTAAAACATGTAATTAAGAATTCATGAGGCTATTTGGGATTCCTAAGTTAATTATCACTAATAAAGGTACAATATTTACTTAAAGAAGCTATAGTAATTAAGTTATGATTAAGCAATAACTTTTACCTTGAAATAGATGGGTAATCTGAGCTTGTTATGCAAACTTTTAAAGATATTTTAAAAACTTCAATGAAAATTGTCTTGTTGAATTTGATTATAATATAACATATATTACACAAGTATATGTATGGCACCCCTTAAAACTCTATTTCGAAGAAAATATTGATCACCTACTTATTGTGAAGACTGAAGACCTAAGAGAAGGAAAATATTGGGGTTTGAAATTTTTGAGGTGAGTATTTAAAAGCTAAATAAATTTGAAAATATCTTCTTATAATCAATGTTTACAAAAAGAGTTACACTGATCTGAAAAAATGGGAGTATAAGTCTACAAAGGAGATCACGTGTTCTTGAAAATATCATCAATGAAAGGTATATAAATATTTGAGGTGCGTTCTAAACTAAATAAGAGGTATATTGGACCTTTTGAGATTCATAGAAAGATTCTGGTATTATCCGATTATCTATAATTGCACAATCTTTTTCATGTTTCCACTTTCAGAAAATATGTACTTGATCAAACTCATTATCTATATTAGCCCCTAAATGTTCAATTTGATTTATCACATAAGGAACGAACAATTTAGTTATTAGATCAAAATGAACAAGTCACCATGAGGAGATAAATCATATCAATCTTTTAAGTTCCTTAGAGATAGATACCACCAGATAGAGATGTAACATAGTAATGAGAAGTGATATAAATAAATAAAAATTTACCGACCAAATTTTTATGAGGAAAAATGTTAATAATTTACACCATAATCTATATATTTATTAATTTGTTGCTCAATGATTGGTGACTTTACAAGGTATTACAAAATTTGATCATTTAGTGTTTGTAGTTTTTTCGGTACAAGAGCTTGATAATAGAAATATTATAAGGAGGATGAAAGATTCATTAGTTAATTGTAAAATGAAATGGAATCCGAAAAGGCATATAAAATCTCCCAAAATTAGTGTAAAACCTTGCATGATAGGGCTTCAGAGTCTGCCAAATTGGTAGACATATTAACACTATGATCAATATGAGGGGCCATGCGGTGATCAATTTATCTAGACACTTAGCACAACCTGATGTAACCTTTGCTTAAGATTCTTTCTAAGAGGAGATGCTATTTTGACCTTTTGAGATTCTGAGAAAGATGCGTGACGTTATTTGATTATCTATAGCCTTGTTTTACAGAAGCATAGGTGCAGAATGTCTTCATATTTCCAACTTAGTTGAATTCATGCGTTTTCTATATAATTGTACAGTATAGATAATTCTATAATATAGAACTTCATCTTCACTTGCAAATAAGCAGTCACCAGTTGAGCGCTAGCATGCTAGTTGTGCATGAAAAATCACATATCAATTGTTACACACATTTAGAAATCTTACCAGAGCTCTCTTATATGAAAATCTATAATTTGAACATGAAATCCACCCAATCTCTTTAATATTCTCCTTGGAATATCTATATGTGAATTGTTTCTTTGTTGTGTTGTTCGACTTCCCCTTCCACTTTCTAGAGGGGTTTGACAGGGTTAAGTTCAAGTCATTTATCTAAGAGAATCATTGTGACCTAGCTTCTCTCTTACCATTTTGGTGCAAGTATATTTCTATGAATAATTTTGGATCCAGTAAGTTCAATTATATTTCATTGGATTGAATTAGAATTGTTTATTACTTTCTTGGATAACAATCTAGAATTTCTCTTTTTATAAAGAGGTGTTGAATCAAATTGTAATTTAGCAAATTAATAATTATAATTTCAACTGTTCCAATTTCCCTTGTTTTCTTTATGCATCTTTAGAGTTCTCCTTTTGGATGTCATGTATGAGTTGTGGTTTATTTTAAACCAGATTCTTGTTTTATTTTACAAAGTCACTGTTCCTTATGATTTTTTATCGTATTAATTATATTGGGCTATTATAATCTCAAGTACTGATACTCTGGTTTTTTTCTCGACCAAAGTAGGAATTCTTGGGTTGCTCATTCTGTAAGCTTTTCAACTAAGGGTCCTCATCTTAAATCTGGTAGCCAAAATTTTTTATTATGGTAGCTTAAATTAATGGCTGCAATATTGATAATATTCTATAAATAATTGAGATTTCATTCCATTTTTCTTGCCTTCAATCCAAACAAGACATTAATTTTCTTCGAAAACTTTTCTAATTTGTGTTCCTTCCTCGCATTTGCAGTGTAGATGGGATCCACCTAATCTTTTTGTTGGTCATTTTGGCTATATATGGACGAACTAACTTTTATTAGTCTCAAGTAATTTGGGTTATATTTTCTTTGAAACCAGATCAGTTTTCTTTCTTTTGATCCAATAAGAGATGGCGGCAATGACAACCCTATCGGTTGGTTCGGGTTCCTGCAGCACTCAGACTAGCTTGGCAAAACAACATAAGCCGCTTGGCTCGAGTTTCAATGCCTCGAAGTTTCTTAATGGCTTTACTGGTTTAAAGGCAATGTCTTCATTTGAAACTGAATCAGAGGCATCATTTCTAGGAAAGACAAGTAATCATGCTCTACAGGCGTTGTGCCTTCCAAAGCTCGAACCAAAGCAGATGTCGGCAAATCCATTTCAACCGCGAGCGTCAACCTTCAAGGTGGCCGTTCTTGGAGCTGCCGGAGGAATCGGCCAGCCATTAGCTCTCTTAATCAAGATGTCTCCACTTGTGTCAAGCTTGCATCTTTATGATATAGCCAATGTGAAAGGAGTTGCAACTGATCTTAGCCACTGCAACACTCCCTCACAGGTGCTTGATTTCACTGGTCCATCAGAATTTTCCAATTGTTTGAAGGGTGTAGATGTGGTAGTCATCCCTGCTGGGGTTCCAAGGAAACCAGGGATGACTCGTGATGACCTATTTAACATAAATGCAAACATTGTGAAGACTCTGGTGGAGGCTGTGGCTGATCATTGCCCAGATGCCTTCATCCATATCATCAGCAACCCGGTCAATTCTACTGTTCCCATTGCTGCTGAGATCCTCAAGCAAAAGGGTGTTTACAATCCAAAGAAGCTTTTTGGTGTCACAACTCTTGATGTTGTCAGAGCCAACACATTTGTTGCACAAAAGAAGAACCTCAAGCTCATCGATGTAGATGTTCCGGTCATTGGCGGTCATGCTGGGATCACCATCTTACCACTTCTGTCAAAGACGAGGCCTTCGGTTGTCTTTACAGATGAAGAAGTACAAGAGCTTACTGTGAGGATCCAGAATGCTGGAACTGAAGTGGTTGATGCAAAAGCTGGAGCTGGGTCGGCGACTTTATCCATGGCATATGCAGCAGCCAGGTTTGTGGAGTCGTCTCTACGGGCCTTGGATGGCGATGACGACGTATATGAGTGCTCGTTTGTGCAGTCTGAACTAACTGATCTACCTTTCTTCTCTTCGAGAGTTAAGCTTGGGAAGAAAGGTGTCGAAGCTTTTATATCATCGGACCTTCAAGGTCTAACTGAATTCGAGGCGAAGGCTCTGGATGCCTTGAAGCCGGAGTTGAAGGCTAGTATTGACAAGGGTGTTTCTTTTGCACAGAAGCAGGGATCAACAGCAGCAGTATCTAACTAAACATAAACATACTCTATTTTCAATCACAACAAAATTAAAAAATAAACATAGCGAGAGAAAGTGCTCGGAGTTCTTCCATTTGAGGTAAGCGCGCCATAATGCAATATATTGCTGAGTTTATGCAGCTTGTAATATTTTTTCTTTCATGTTGAGTTCTTGATGGATGATCACTTATTTCATTAATAGCAGGACATTTTATCTTATCTGCATCATTTTTTAGGAGAATGCTAACTTTGACTGGAACGTGGGTGGAACTAAATTAAGGCTTCGTTTGATTCGGTTTATGCATACATAAAAAGGAGTTTTAGATAAGGAGGTTGAGAAAAAGCCCTTCAATAAAATGGAGTTTCAATAATGAGATATGTTTGAGTAATATTTTTAAAGTGATTATTAATACTTGAAAGTAAATTTAAATTGTTTGTTTAGGAGTTCTGTTTTTGAGATTTTATTATAAAAGACATAATTGCCCATAAAATTTATGTACACGTAATTAATATAAAGCATTTATGCCTGGCCAGCTCCAAGCTGTTTAAGGAGAAATTATTAGGTGTTAATGCACGGAGAGTTGTGTATGAAATGGGAGTGCATGTGTGTACTTTTGTGTCTATTAGTATGCTCATTTGATGCACTTAGTCATTGCATGGGTATATAGCTGTATATTTCAACTTTATATATGTAGCTCTATGTATGTCATCAACCCTTAGGGTTTGTTTTGGATTTTTGTTTGTTTGTTTTATTTTTCAGATTGTAATTATAATCCTATTTGACTATTATTTTCTTGTTATTTTTTATGCTAGTAATTTGCTTGTTATAGTAATTTTAAAAAAAAAATTATTTTCTGGAATGATTTTACAATCATTTTCATAAAAATTGCCTACAAGCAAATTTTTAATATATATATATATATATATCTTAAATTTAAGGTCATTTGTAAAGATAAATTTAGAGAGTGACAATTTGAAGAGAAGATAATAGATGACATATATGTTGGTTCTTTTGTGTGATTGGTTTTGTTTTAATATTTCATAAAGTTGATTGTGAAGTTATTGTTAAAAAATTCATTTAGTTATATTGATTATAAAAATGTAAATTATTATTATTATTATTATTTTTGAAAAGTTATGAGTAAATAAAAATGAAATGAAATTATGATTATTATTTAAAATATAGAATAATTAAAAAGTTGTCTTCAACATACATTTTGTTTCGGTAAGAAAGTAGAATTTTTTTTTTTAAATAATGTCGAAGGTTTAAAAATATGCCATGTTTATGGAAGCCAACCTAACAGTTAGCAGGGGCAGCAATGATCGCATTTCAAAAGACATTATTGACGCTTGGTAAGTGTGCAAGGTGCCTGTTTTAGGAACAATTATTAGGTCAGGAGGCCTGACGGTATTGCTCGGTATTACTCGGTATTGCTTGACAATAACGAGCAATACCACTATGTCAAGACCAATACCGAGAAATACCGAGAAAACTCGGATTGCTCGGTATTTCTCTGTATTGCTCGGTATTGTTCGGTATTGATCTTCACAGAATGGTATTTCTCATTATTGCTGAGCAAAATCGACCAATACCTAGCAATACCAAGTAATACCTAGCAATACGCGAACATAGCAATCCTGGCTCCGTTCCGGGTCGGGTTGTCGGGCCGCGCGGTAAATAGCGAGAACACGTGGCACTAATTTACTGGCGTCCGAACGTAGAGCTACGTTAGGTGACCGGACCAAATAAAAGTTCTTGTTTTAGCCCTGAGGGGAAACAGGTCGGCAAAGCACCTAACGCATCTAACGCCTATTTGTGTGAAGCAACATCCTTTTGAAAGTCCAAAAACTTTCCTTAGGGCTTATTTCGTTTATTGAAGTTGGGCAATTATGTTTTTAAACAAAAATGAATTTATAAACATAATGTACAAAGCCTTGGATATTTGAAATTACTGTTGATTTTGAGCTCTATCAACACAAAAACCATTCAAAGCCTTTCGAGTTTCAATTTCGTGAGGGTGATAGTTGACGTTGAAAGTCAAAAAATACGAGGGAGTTTTTTTTAAGTTTCACATCTGCCCTCTATAATGGATATGGATCTATTTATATTCATTTTGGGATGGGCATTTTGATAAATTTAACCAGAATTCATAGCGCTCTATCGTACAAATTATTACATATTTGAATGATATAATGATCTTAGAATCGAGTAAGTTACAATTAAAGGCCGTTTAATCCATCAATATAGGTACATAAATTTTCAAATATAATTTTAGTGTCTCATTTGGGCTCATTTGGAGTCCAAATCATATCGTTCAAGAAGTATAAATTTGCTGAAATTAAAGTTCAGATGATCATGAATTTAATTTTGCAATTTTCCAATTCAAATATTGCCTCAAGCAAAATTTTGGAAATATATTTTAATTCTTCAAAAAATTACAAAAAAATACAAGGCATGACCGCTCCTTAAACATAAACATGAATTTTCCCTCGGAGTCTTGAAACAAATAAAATATCTTTAATTGCACTTTTAGCTTTTGATGAAGTCGGTCAGTTAATAGGTGCTAAAATTGTTCGATAATTATGCTCCAAATTTTCTAATTAGCTCAAAATAAATCATGAAGCTAATAGACTTGTCTGACCTAAGAAATTGGGCCTATATTGGATTGAGCTGGTCGGCTCACTTGCCACAACTTGGGCGGCGCCGGCACTTGCTGGGAGACGGGACTCATTACGGGGGTCCTATAGCGCCTCTCAATGGAGGTGCCGAACCATGAAGAGTTGACGATAGGCAATTGCCCATCCTGAAATTTTATTTTTTTCTAAGAAGAATATATATTTTAACTATTTTGACCACCTTCAATATATACATATCCTCGAATTATAAGCAAACAATCATAATAATACAGGTAAGAGGGACTGGAGTTGCCAGGCGTCGGAAGTCGAAGAGACCATATATATTCGTCAAGGGACAGATGTCGGAGGGAACTTAGTCGGCCGGCATCGAAGGTCGGAGGGACTGTATACTGTGGGCTACTGAGGTCAGAGGGACTGGAGTTGGCGGGCGACGATGGTTAGAGAGATCAAGGTCTAAGGGCGATGATGGTCGAAGGGACCATAGTTGTGGAACGATGGTGGTTGAAGTGTCCTAATCTGAGGGTGACAGAGGTTGGATGAAGGCTTAGTGATGGTTGTCAAGCTGAGGTACGACGATGATGATAGGACAAAAGATCTACAACAGCAGCCTGGTGGTGAGGGTTTGCTAGCGATGGTGTCAGGGTGGGAATCCAAGATGCTTCAAACTTCAGAGTTCTCTTGAGTCTCTAGCCCAGGACCTAAACCTCCAAAGGTCTTAGCTCCCCCCTCATGTAGAGATTGGGGCACTATTTATAGATTTTGAGAGTGACATGCTCAATAAATATGAAGAAGAATCAGAGCAAATTCAAAGTGTTCAATTGGACGGTTCATATTGATCCTCTCGATTATGATGTGTTTGTCAAGTATTTAATTAGTGCGATAATGATGTTAGAATGAAACAATCTTGGGCTAGTTGGATTTGTCTCGTCAAGCCGCTTGATTTGACTATAAGCAAGTTATATTTAGAGATTATTTGATCATTCGATTATTGTTTTGAACTTGCCAAATATACTTTAGTCCCTTGATTTGAATCTATTTGGACTCAGATTAGACCGATTTTGGATTCGTTGGTTCTGCCTTACGGAGACGTTTAATTTGATTGTAAGTTTGTTGAAATGGGGTTCGGATGGTCCCGTATTTAATGTTGGAAGTTGTCAATTAAGATATACCTCGAGATTCAATATGTGGATTAAGACGGTTTTTTTATGAGGTATCATATATATATATATATATATTTAAAATTGGATGGTTAGAGAGATCGAGGTCTAAGGGCGATGGTGGTCGAAGGGATCATAATCGTCAAACGATGGTGGTTGAAGGGACCTAATCTGAGGGCGACATAGGTTGGATGAAGGCTTAGCGATGGTTGTCAAGCTGAGGTATGATGACGATGGTAGGACAAAAGATCTACAACGGTAGCCTGGTGGTGAGGGTTTGCTAGCGATGGTGTCAGGGTTGGAATCCAAGATACTGCAAACCTCAGAGTTCTCTTGAGTCTCTTGCCCAGGGCCTAAACCTCCAAAGGTCTTAGCTCCCCCCTCATGTAGAGATTGGGGCACTATTTATAAATTTTGAGAGTGACATGCTCCATAAATATGAAGAAGAATCAGAGCAAATTCAAAGTGTTCAATTGGACCGTTCATATTGATTCTCTCGATTATGATGTGTTTGTCAAGTATTTAGTGTGATAATGATGTTAGAATGAAACAATCTTGGGCTAGTTGGATTCGTCTCGTCAAGCCACTTGATTTGACTGTAAGCAAGTCAGTCCCGTGATTTGAATCTATTTGGGCTCAGATTAAACCGATTTTGGATTCGTTGATTCTGTCTTACGGAGACGTTTAAATTGATTGTAAGTTTGTTGAAATGGGGTTCGGATGGTCCCGTATTTAATGTTGGAAGTTGCCAATTAAGATATACCTCGAGATTCAATATGTGGATTAAGACGGGTTTTTTATGAGGTATCATATATATATATATATATATTTAAAATTTTTATAATTAAACTTTTTTTATATAAAACCATATTTGAATATGGGTTGAAACCAAATCCAAATAATCATGTTTGAATGCAGCATCTTCCTGTCAGGGCTCGCAAACAGCAGTGTGTGAGGGAGAAGAGGGGTTCAAGGTGACAGCTCGCTGGGGAAAAGGGTGGACAGGAGCTTTTTCAACCAGAATCGATATGGGCCGTCTACCCAAAGATTGTTAGAGTGGCGAGGGATCGATGGAGAAACCATGGTAAGTAAAATTCCAGAAGTAGCACTTGTAAATTATTTATTTATTGCAATACAATCAAAATACACCAATTTTAACAGAGATGTAGAGAAAACAGAGAGAACCAAGCAAACAAGAGAAGCTGAATTGAGCGTGTTAAAATGAAAATATGTTATATGTAAAGAAGTTTATATTTTCACTCACATCTTAGTGAAAACAAACCCATCATTTTTGAGATAATTTTGAAAATAATTCGCAAAGTTTGGAATCAATGCAGGTGCAGGTCAGTAACTTCATTCAACCAAATAATAAATCTAACAAATTCATCAACTTTCAAGCAACCGAGGTTTTGTTTGGGACGTCTTTTTTATTGCTTCTTACAACAACTTTTTAGTATAAAAAATTATTTTTTTACTAGAAAGTTGCTTTAAGAAGTAGTAAAAAAGTCGTCCCAAACAAAGCCTAAATAAGCTACTGAACAAATTTCTCTAGAACGGAGGGAACTCAATTTGATCTGAGCACTTCCCCCTTGGAAAGACTGGACACTCAATAAGATTAGTAGCTGACGTATCCACACACATATAAACTTGATACAATTGCCTGTTCCTACCTTCATCCACATTGCACTCTATCCATGGAGTGAAGCCTGTTGCCTTGCTTATCGCATCCTTGATGCTGCTAACGCTGTAATATCCCCCATCAGGTTTGATCCCTGTAACAATTTTATAATTTTTATCAAGTAAAGTTAGATTGACAAATACAGATTTCGTTTGGGATGGCTTACTTCTTGCTTTCTAAATTAATTTTTTAGTACAAAAAACAATAGAAAGCTGTCCCAAACGAAGTGAGATAGTTTACCTGCATCGTTAAGGATTTGGAGGAGGTTAATCTTGTTCTTGAGGTCTAGTGTAGCCTGGAAGTAGGCGTGTTGGTCGAGGACAGACTCAGAGCAGGTGCCATGCTTCTCCCATTCATGCTCCCAGAATTGGTTTCCATCGCTGCTGGGGCAAGAAAGGGTTGGCCACTCTCTTTGCAAGCTTTCAATCAGGTCATTGATCTGCCAACATATTTGAAGACAATAGGAGTAAGTGGCAAGTTGCACAAAGTTAATTAAGAAAAAGTCTTTTATCATTGGTGATACACCAAGGGGTCATTCAGTTAGGCTTTGTTTTGGACGACTTTCTTACTGCTTCTTAAAGTAAATTTTTAGTATAAAAATTAAAAAATTGTACTAAAAACCGCTCCAAGAAGCAGTAAGAAAGCCATCCAAATAAAGATTTAATGTTATAAAGATAGCTTTGGCATCTAAATAGAAGTGTTTTTCAAATCACAATGATATATGTAGTACTCCTTTCTACTAAATAATGTGTTGTCAACTTTAGTCAAATAATTTCACGGTTTTGACGCGACTCAATTTGGTCTATTGGTTAAGAGTTTTGGCCACTAATCAAGAGGTTTTGAGTTCGAGTCTTACGTATTTTATGTGTTTGTAAGTTTGGAGAAATTATTTTATGCGGACACCGGAAGGTTCGGATATCAACCAGAATGCGCCACGTCACCCAGTACACAGCGGTACCGAGCAAAAAAGTGATGTGACACGTTCTTGTTGGTCTCCAGACGATGTCCGAGTTCCCCCCAGAATAGTTTTCGATGAATTTGATTTAATTGGCCTAAATGTCCTAAAAAAAAAAAAAACTCACGGTTTTGTATTATAATTGTAACATTTTATCGTTCAAAGAAGATGAAATATATGGTTTCAGCCTATCATTTTCTCGTTCCAATTCCTTTTCTATTTAAATTCTTTCACATTTATTCCTTGTCTTAAGTACGCAGCAAGAGATAAGGAACAAAGTTACATCATTCAAATGAGTAACGCCTGCATTTACCTATTTTTGTAAAGTTTGGTTTTTCGTTATACAATACTTGCCCTTTTGATACAACTTGCAAAAAATAGATGAGAATATTCCAGCCAAAATTTATTCTGGGTGAATTTTATTTATTTTATTTTTAAATTAATATTATAAATTTTTATTATAATAAATTATAGAATTTTATCAAAATTTAATCTAATTAATTATTTCTATGTTATTTTTAAGATTAATGTAATTAATATAATTTAATTATTCCTATATTCTATTTATCTATAAAAATAAAAGAATTTAATTAACACTGACCAAAATTTCTCCGATTTAGATTAATGCCCATCATGCACTGCACAATCAACTGGCCCTACGGCATTTAAGCTCCGATATATATAACGTAAATTATGAAGGAATCAACTACCTTTAAATATTACCTTATATATTGCCACATTAGGTAGCATGACAAAAAAAATTTAAAAAATAATAATAAAATTCTTATAACAAGATGGCGAAATTCTACCCACAAATCTCCCTTCACTACAAAAAAAAAATGCATCAGCGATGTTGTCGCGGTTAAAATAGTTGCTATAACTAGTATTTCGTATGTCTTCTCCAGCGGTTATAAACCGCCGCAAAATGTTGTTGCATCAGATTGCAATCACAGCAAGCGTACAACGGTTATAAAACCGTTGCAAGAAAATTTGGGGTGGATAAAACCGTCGAAAAAGTCTAAATTTGTGCTGGAATAGTCCGATTTTTATAATAGTGAGATTCCCTTCAAAGTTTATCCATGGTTTCCGTGCACAAATGCAACTATGCAGGAATACTAAGATTATAACTCATAAAAAAGAACAGACATTTATAAAAAGAATGGGAGCAGTCAGGAGTCGAAAGATACCGTAGATGATTGATACGGGCTATCTGGATCACAATTGGAGGGATAAGCTCCAGATTTGTAGTTGGGCCAAAGGCCATGGATTCCGAAGTCTGCCTCTGGCTTTCCTGTGGTTGGATAACAGCAACTCTTCCTCGTGTCACAGTAGGATCCAGGCCACTGAACAAAACATACAGTACTAGAAGAAATCAAAATCCTGAATTACAATAGTATAGAGGGAGAGAGAGAGAGAAAGAGAGGGATCACCTGCTGAACAAAGTAGAAGAAATCGAAGTCCTGAGCAGAGGAAACGGCAGCAAAGAAGGGAGAGAAGAGGAGGAAGAAGAAAGAAGAGAAAGCAAGTTGGATCTTCAATGTCTTCATGTCAATTGAGTTCTAAATTGTAAGGCTACTGAAGGATTTCGTGTTGTTTTTATAAGCAAAGTTTGGCGTGGAGTGTGGGAAATTGCTTAGGCGTTTTGGCTTTTAAATAATTTGAGAGAGAGAGAGTGAGAGAGGGGTGAAGGAAATATAATCGAGAAAGAAAGAGAGCCGACCAATGAGCAATGGAACCATATCTATTCGACCACGTGTTGGGTTTTGTACAGAAGGTTAAGCCATTCACATTGTGCAATTATTTCTTCACCTAATCATTGAGCCAGTTGTGAAGAAATTTATGAATCGATCTTATGGGAAAAATATTATGTGAAGGTATTTGGATATAAAATATATTAAATGCAAATTAAATTTATATTGAAATTAATACATATGATTTAGATTTGTATTATTAATTTTAAAAATTGGGCAATTTTGAAATTTATTTTATGTGAGAATAGTTTATATAAATTTAGTATAATTGTTTAGAAGATATGGAGTTTTAATCATATTAGAAAGCTTTGAGAATTTAGAGAAATTTTCATTTCTCGAAATTTTTTCTCAATGCTCATTTGATTTTTTTCTTTTTGAATAATTAAATATTTTTTTCTGCTATAATAATCCCTTGATCAGCTATCTTGCTGACAATCAATTATTCCCTATCAACATCATGTATTAATATTTTATGATTATCATGTGTTCATACTTAAAAACGGGCTTTTCATTATGATAGCTATGTGTCTCAAAAGAAATCACCAACTAACAATTTGAGTTTTGTTTGGGACAGTTTTTTTACTGTTTTTTAAAATAATTTTTTAGGATAAAAAAATTTTAAATTAATATTTTTGTATTAGAAAATTGTTTTAGAAAGCAATAAGAAAGTTGTCCCAAATAAAATCTTAATTATTTTTTTAGTTGAAAATGAGATATTGACAACTCATTTTAAAATGGGGAGATATAAAATTAATATATGCTTTATGTTAAAAAATACGAAATAAATTTAAAATGAAGATCTAATGTCATGAATTAGTCTAATGTATGTTCTTAAATATTCTTAATTATAGTATCGTGCTTAAATCATCAAAGGAAAAGTCAGCTTGAATTAAACCACTTGGTACTAAGTGATATAAAATATATGCATAACATGCAAGCAATTACATATATTTAGGGGAGGAGGTCGGCCAGTGAACCTACCTCAAATGGACCACAATAGCTAGTCCTTGACACGTTGCCATACTAACTATTAGAACTTTCGATAAGGGGAAGGTTTTTTTTTTTTTCCTTTCTAGCTAGCTTGGTTCAATAAAAAATTGAATAATTTATAATGTTAATATTCATCAAATGTAAATAAAATAATAAATACCTACATGATTAAGCTTTATAGCAATTTTTTTAATGAGAAAAGCTCATAGAAAAATCGTCCTTATTCATAAGGTCACTCACTGGAGTCTCTTCCAAACTCTTTAATCCTCCCATTAATTTTTGAATAATGAATTCGGATCAAAATATGGAGAAGCAACAAAATTTGATCAAAAAATAATTTATTTAAAGGTCTGTTTGGGATAACTTTCATATTGATTTGCTTTCAACTATTTAGTTATTGCTTTCTTGTTGCTTTCAAGAATTTTATGTACAAAGATTTTGATTTTTATTATAATTTAAGAAAATATACATTTTTTCTACAACATCTTTACGATCAACTTTATAAAAAAACTTCAGTCATCCCAAACATATCTTGAATCAACTTTGATCAATTTTTAAAGAAAGAAAAAAGTTCAAGATGATTTTATGATAATTTTTTTTTTAAGAAATAGATGTAACACATAACAAATCAATTAAATATTATATTATACCCATCTTAAAATAAATATGATTGATAGTCCACCATGCACAAATTTGAATATGTATTCCTTAGCTAAATTGAAGCTTGGTCGGAATAACTAATTGAGTTAGGCTTCGATTGTGATTGATTTTTTACTGCTTCTTAAAGAGGATTTCTTGTAAAAAAAATTAAATTTTTGTACTAAAAAATTATTTTAAGAAGTAATAAAAAAATTGTTCCAAATGAAATCTCAATCTTAAGCTCTGCTCATAAGTACTCCAAGCAGTTTACAAATGACTTACAGATATTTATCTTTGAATTTTCTTGCAAAAATTTTCGTGATAATTTTAAAATCTTAGATTTTTAACAGCATTTTTCACTGCGACTAGTCGCTTGTTGTTGAAACAGCTATATATCTGAAGTCTATCATAATAAAAAATTTAGTCAAAATACCTTTACTCAGAATTTTTCATAAAAATTTTCGCTGTTGAACGCTTTGCTGATAGAGTTAAAAAAAAGTTACAAATACTAATTTTTTTGTACTTCACTTTTTTTGTTATACTAAGTATACACGCATGTCACAAGGCACAAGCAGAGACAAACAAATGAATATCATCTTAAGTATCTAAACAACCCGGCTTGGTCTTGATTTAAGAGGGTCCAGCCCTTGTTTGTAAGTAAGTTGATTAACAGTTCAGCTATTTGTTCGGCTAAAACTTTTTATGTTCATGTAATTAGCTTCTTGAGAAATTTTTAACACTTCATTTTGAGACAATTTTTTTACTATATTTTCTAAAAAAAGTTATTTAGAACTAAAATTATCTTAAACTAAAAATTTTTATAATAAAAAACTGCTTTAAAAAGCTGTAAGAAAGCTATCTCAAATGAAGCCTAAATGTGTTTAAAAGCTTGCAGAGTAAATTAGTAAATTGGAATAATAAATCACTTATTAGTTATGTGCATAAGTATGTTTATTTGTAATTTGGCTAATAACTCGATGAGAGCCCTGCCAAATACTTACTTAATATTTTTATAATAAATTATTTGGTGCTCACCACAAGATTTTGTACTAAAATTATAGCTTTCATAGTTTAATTTAAATGAATTATATACATGAAAGTTAAGTATGTTTCTTGTAATTTTAAATCATTTTGTAATTAAATTATTTTTATTTCTTCCAAATTTTCAGGGGACAGAAAAAAAAGGGTACCAAGTAAATAATATGTATGTTAATTAGTGTCCATTGTTATGACAAAGATTTGTATGGGATAAGCCTCAAAATTGAATTGCATCTCATTCCTAATATATGCTAGAAGCTATAGTCGACTAAGCATATCATTTTGCTCCATATTAGGTGTTGAAAGTTGGGCTTATATATGTGGGGGTAAATGAGAATGGATGGTTAACCCTGGTTAAACTCTCATAATTATGTTATCTCAGAGTAATCAGGTGGAGTTAAATAATGCTTATATTTTTCCTTTCTAGCTAGCTTTGTTCAATAAAATATTGAATAATTGATAATAATATTATATTAGTATTCATCAAATGTAAATAAATAACTATCACATGATTAAGCTTTATAGCAAATTTTTTTAATGAGAAAAGCTCATAGAAAAATAGTCCTTGATCATTCGGTCACTCTGAGTCTTTTCCAAAACTATTTAATCCTCCCATTATTTTTGATTAATTAATCATATATTTAATTTATTAATAACAATTTTAATCACAATAAATTAATTCGGATCGGAATATGGAGAGGCAACAAAATTTGATCAAAAAATAATTTATTTAAAAGTTTGTTTGGGATAACTTTCTTACTAATTTGCTTTTAACTATAATTTTTATTTAACTACTGTTTTTTAGTTACTTTCAGGAAATTTATGTGCTAAGAAAGCAAATCATTAATAACATAGCATCGTTTGTTTGTTTCCTCCATTTGAATGCGTTTGTTAAAAGCAGTGTGCTAAGAGATTAACGCACCCCATTTGCGTTCACCAGCCCATGTTTGTAAGTTAATAACAGTTCAGCTAATTGTTCGGCTAAAACTTTTTATGTTTAGGTAGCTTTCTTACTATTCTCTAAGGTTTCGTTTGGGATGACTTTCTTGCTGCTTCTTAAAATAATTTTTTATTACAATTTTTTTAACTTTTATAACAAAAAGCTGCTTTAAAAAGCATTAAGAAAGCCGCCCCAAACACAGCCTAAATAAACTATTTAGAACTAAAATTATTTTGAATTAAAAATTTTTGTAATAAAAAACTGCTTTGAAAAGTAGAAAGAAAGGGACAGCTTTTTTACTGCTTCTTAAAGCTACTTTCTGGTATAAAAATTAAATTTTTTGTACTAAAAAACTATTTTAGTAGTAAGAAAGCCATTACAAACAAAGCCTACATTGCGATAAAGAGCTTGCAGTGTAAATTAGTAAATTTGAATAATAAATCACTTATTAGTTATGTGCATAAGCATGTTTATTTGTAATTTGGCTAATAACTTGATGAGAGCCCTGCAAAATACTTATTTAATATTTTTATAATAAATTATTTCGGTGTTCACCACAAGATCTTGTATTAAAATTATAGTTTAATTTAAATGAATTGTACACATGAAAGCTTAAGTATGTTTCTTTGTAATTTAAATCATTTTGTAATTAAATTATTTTTATTTCTTCCAAATTTTCGGGGGAGAAAGGAAAAAGGCATGCCAAGTGAATAATATGTAGGTGAATTAGTTTCAATTGTTATGACAAAGATTTGCATGAGATAAGCCTCAAAAGTGAATTGCATCTCATTCCTAATGCTTGAAGCCATAGTCAAAAAAACTTTTTTTTTTTTTTTTGAGAAAACCCACTTAGGGCCTATGCGTTAATTAAAAATGAAGGTTACAAGTCCTTAGGTGATCCCAAGCTCACTAAAATAAAATGTTTGAAGTAAAACCTAAGAGCAAACAGATCTCAACTAGTACAACAAAACAAAAGGAAAAAAAAAGAAACAACTAATAATCACCTAACAAGAGGCATATGCAGCAGGCAACAACAAGGCCAAATATTGGAGACAGAAGGCCCACAGGAGGAGGAGCCACCAAGAAACCCACAATAACCTGCAAGGAAGAAATGAAACAATCACCTCCAAGCACCACCCTGATTAACTTTGGGAAACCAAAAGACACCAACAAAGACAAAAGCAGCAAAACCTAAATTCCACAAGCACGAAAATAAACCAGAACCCTCAAACAACAAAAAAAAAACAGTAGAATCCACCATGAGGCAGCCACCACAGACCCTGAAAAAACAGCAGCCCCAAGCCAACAAAACATGAACATACATAGGAGAATAGAAAACCAAAATCATTTCCTTTTAGCTTTCCTCCATTTACGATTACTAGCTTTTTTGGAAGAACCAGCCACAGCAATACTAATCACATTTAGGTCATAAATTCCCTTAGAATCAATGTATTCCTTAGCATCCCAAATAGATGTAGAATCACAATCATCCAACCAGTCACCTTCAGCCATCTCAAAATCATTCTCATTAGCATCCAATTGAGCAACCAAAGCATCGTTTGCTAATAGAGATATAAGGACATCAACAAGAGGGGTAGGATTAACATTTTGAACAATATGCATTTCACCATCGGACATAACATCATCGTTAAGAGCCAAAGCATCGAAGCAAACCCCAACATTCACATTCTCAACTGGCAAGCTCGAGGAAGAAGAAGCCAAAGGAACATTAGCTTCACGGCCCACCAACCCCAAATGAACCATAATTACATTCCACTATAACATCATCATCACCTCCAGTATTAGGAGTCGAAGTAGGTCAAGATTAACCAAGTAAGGGTTGGGGCTCACCTCTCTATTGACACACAAATCTTTAACAACACTACCCACTTGATTATAATTAACCTCATTAACACCACCAAAATCATCAATCACGATATTAATAGGTAAGACAAGCAGCACAAAAGGGACATTATCTAAATTTTTAACATCAGCACAAGCATTCCAATCAAAATCCTGCTGAGATTCAGCCCTAGCCAAAATGACACCAAGCTCATTACAATCACTACAAGCATTCTTAATATTCCCATCAATCAGCCCATCATTAACAAATGAAACCAAAACAACAGTATCATTACCATTAGCATTCCCACCTGACAAACTAGGATTATAATTAGAATTAGGAACAAGCATAGGAGCAGAGGACTGGATGCGACATTCACCCCTAAGGTGACTAAGACATTTGCAAGAAACACAAAATGAAGGAAATTCATTCATCTGAACCATTTTAATATAACCTAAATTCTCAAGCCCAATCCAGATTTTGTCCGGATAGTTTTTTGTAATGTCTAGTTCCACTAATACACATGTAAGAGAGAGCCTAGAGCCAACAGAAGTGGTATATCATTGAGCTTCGTAATAGGTGTTGAAAGTTGGGCTTATATATGGGTGGTTAAATGATATTGGTAATGTCCAGTTCCACTAATACACGCGTAAGAGAGCGCCTTGGTCAAACTCTCATGATTATGTTATCTCAGAATAATCAGGTGGATTTCATTAGCCGATGATAAAGTTTGGGGATACCATGCATCATTTAATGAGTTTGATTAGTAGTCATAAGCAACCTCCTATCAAATATCTCAACTAAGCTGACGATTGATTGATATATACATGAGAGAATTTTCATCTTTATACTTCATAAATATAATCCTAGATATAAAGTCAACGTATTCAGTACATGATCCAACTAAAACTATTAGTACTTCATACAAATGGAGGGAAAGCTCTTGAGGCTTTATGTGTTTAGTGCAAACTTTTCTTATAAATTTGTTATTTGATAATCTATTTGTGAAGTGAACTTAAATACTTATAGCTGTGTTAGCTTGAAGAGAACTCATATCACAATTTAGCAATGTTAGTGTAGTTTTAGGATTTTCAATTCTAACAGGCTTAAGAAATTATCTCAATTTGATAGAAATGGCCCAAAGAATCTTGAATCAAAAATAAAATTGATTCTTGACTCGGGTAAAATTGGTTGAACCCGAACTGACCCGGCACTATTCGTGTTCAGGTCAACCCAACCTGTTTTTGCAAACAGGTTGATTTTCTGGACCCAAACCCGACCCGCTTCAGGTCCGGGTCAACCCGACCCGACCCGAATGACCCTAGACCAATAAAAATCTACTATTTTTTGGGTATAAAAAAGGGACAATATCCTTTTTTCGGGTCAAAATCGGGTAAAAACGGATCAATCTCGGGTTGCGGGGTCAAAAATGGGTTTTTGAGTCACAAACAGATCAATTTCGGGTCACAAACGGGTCGATTTCGGGTCAACGGGTCAACTCGAACCCGACCCGATTTTTAAAACGGGTCAATTGTTTAACCCGAACCCGACCCGTTTCAGGTTCGGGTCAACCCAACCCGAAATTTTCGGGTTGGGTTCGGGTCGGATTTTCGGGTCGGGTCCATTATTGACAGCCCTGGTCACTAGTTTAGAAAAAAAGAGTATATATATATAGCATATTTAATCATAATTTAATACAAATCATACAAAATGTCTCAAACTCAAATTCGTCCTGGTAGAAGACAGCTTGCAACTTGTAACCAGTAGGCTAAAGATGATTCGTATTAATTTAAATATTTACTTACCAAGAATTAGCTGCGAGACCCACCATTGAGTTTTTCCTGTTTGTGAATTCCTTTATCCAAAAAGCTCTCGAGGTTTCAAGACGAAGAACAAGACAAAGAACAATATTAACAATCCACACACTTGATGAAAGCACTAGAAACCTCTTAATGCTTGTTTCAACACAGCAGTTCAATACCACCACAAATAAGAGGGCTCACCATTCCAAACTTTTCACTTCATAGATTCTTGTAGCACTTCGCATCCTTTCATTCAGACCATCCAAATGGACGGCTGCGCTCGACTCCACAAATTAAGATCATGATGTATATAGGCTATTTAAAGCCATTGCGCCAAAAAAGCCTTTCTCAAATTAAAGACCAGAAGGATATATGGCGCCTGCGCTCTCTCTCACAGCATGCCACTTCCCTACTTACTGCAAGTCTCAGGAAATCTCCAAGGAAAACCATTACAGACTATTTTCTTCGGATGCTGCTCTCAAAAGGAGGAAGCTTTTGATCAAATCCACTTCTTCCTTGAGTCTTCTAGGAGCTGGGTTAACTTTAGTTCAGCCGGCGAAGACTGAACCAGAGAACCCTGAGGAATTTACATCCACTAGAATGTCATATTCGAGATTCTTGGCCTACCTGAATGAAGGATTTGTGAAAAAGGTGGATTTGTTCGAGAACGGGACTGTGGCTATTGCTGAAATCATGATTCCAGCTCTTAACAAGATTCAGAGGGTCAGAGTTCAGTTGCCTGGATTGCCGCGAGAGCTGCTAAGGAAGATGAAGGAAAAGGATGTTGACTTTGCAGCTCATCCTGTACAACCCAACGTCGGGATGATGCTCCTTGATCTACTGGGGAATTTGGCTTTTCCGTTGCTCATCCTGGGGTCTCTGTTTTTGAGAAGCTCGCCGACGAACTCAGCAGGAGGGCTGAACTTGCCATTTGGCTTGGGAAGGTAAGCTTTCAGCTTTCATGAGGTTCTACATGGGCAAGAAGAGTGCGTAGGAATGATTTTATTTAAGAACAGAAACAAGGACAACAAGAGCCTAGGAGTGTAATTGAAACGAGTTGGCTTGGCCTCGATGAGTTTATACTGCCTAGCCAGCCAAGTTTTAGTATACTCTGCTTCGACTATCAGCACATAAGTTTAACTCCTTTAAAAACTTTTGATATCAAAATACATTTAAAATATATTATTATATTAAAATTCAAATATTAGACTTTATGTTTACAATTTTACTATTTTTAGCCGTTAACTTTCTTCTATTTCACTTGATTTTTGCTAATCAAAGTGAGACTATCATAGATTTAAATGTACTTGTAATTTTTTAATTGATCAATGAATGCTGGGCGGTGAAATCAAGAAGAGCTCAAGTCTAATGAATGCAATTGCCCGCCCTGAAATTTTTTTTTTTCTTAAAGCTATTTTTTTTAATCATTTTATAACAATTTTGAATATTTACCTTTATTTTTTTGTGACTCGGTGCTTAATTAAAACTTTAAGTACATGTTGAGATTGACTTGAGCTCAACTTGGATTATTCATTCTCAGGTCAAAAGCCAAGTTTCAGATGGAGCCAAACACAGGAATTACATTTGATGATGTAGCTGGGATCGATGAGGCAAAGCAGGATTTCAAGGAAATCGTAGAGTTTCTGAAATTCCCAGAAAAGTTTGCTGCAGTGGGGGCTAGAATTCCAAGGGGTGTTCTTCTCGTGGGTCCACCAGGTACAGGCAAAACATTACTAGCAAAAGCCATAGCAGGGGAGGCCGGAGTTCCATTCTTTTCCCTGTCAGGTTCAGAGTTCATTGAAATGTTCGTGGGAGTAGGAGCCTCAAGAGTGAGGGATTTGTTCAACAAGGCAAAAGCTAGCTCCCCATGCCTGATATTTATTGATGAAATAGATGCTGTTGGAAGACAGAGAGGGACTGGAATTGGAGGAGGAAATGATGAGAGGGAGCAAACGCTTAATCAGTTGCTAACTGAGATGGATGGCTTCAGTGGAAGCAGCGGGGTTGTAGTAATTGCAGCCACAAATCGACCAGAGATTCTGGATCAAGCATTGCTTCGTCCCGGAAGATTTGATAGACAGGTAACGCAACTTGAACTAGATCACCATATTATTCTTCAACGAATGAATCTCGCATAACAATAGATTGTAGACTTAGGATTTCTTTGAGGCAACTCTTTCAATGCTTTATTTTTTAGATCACAACTAAGACTGCAAACGAATCGGACATTCAACAAATTACTTGTCACTTGGCCACTTGTTTTGATTATAGCTCATTCATAATCATTTGATATAGTAATCAATGAAGTTTGAATAATTTTTTAAATACTTAATGATTAAATAAACAAATTTGAACAACTATTTATTCAACTTGTTTGTTTTTACGACCAAGATCATTTAAAGCTCATGATCAAATCAATAAGAGGCTTGATTCATATTCGAGCTCGTGAACAAGATTGTTAAGAAATTTTTATTAATGTTCGATATGGAGTTCCATTAAACTCATTCTAAACAATGATAAAATACTTAATGTGAATGTTTAATATTTATTATAATTTAATAACATAATAATCATCAATTATATTTTAAAATCAATTAAATATATAATATCTATTACTTGAAAGTACTTATTTGTGGTTGCTAGATTATTTATTTTGAGTGTTCATTAAATAGCTCGTTCATTAAATAGCTCATTCATTAAAATATCATTTTCTTATCTCAACAAGCTAATCATTTTTAAGCTAAAAAAAGCTCAATAGGCTAGCTTATTTATGGGATTGAGAAAGCTTTTTAGATATATTCGCTAATAGGCTCAGTAAAGCTCATTGTAATTATTTGTTAGTAGGCTCGATAAGACTCTTTTATTAAACTAATAAACATGTCAAAAATAAAACATGTTAATAATTTCATATTGCTCGTTTTATTTTAAATAAGCCGCTTATTTAAAGCTTGGTAAGCACAATACTTTGGAGTTTTTTAGATTTTTTTTGTTTATAGTAAAATAAATACAATGTGAGGTCCAAAGATAATGATGATCAGTGGATGGTGGTTGGTGACGACGATCGACTGTGATGAGTGGCAACGTCAGCAGGTGGTTGCGACAACCGTTGGTGGCTGGTAGTAGCAACGAGTGGCAGGAACTAACGGTTGAGGGTGGTTGTCAGCGGCGGTGGTAGTGAAGGTGGTGGTCGTTGGCAATTGTTGGTGTTGTGGGTAGTGGTGGTTGGTAGTGGCCAGTGCGACAACTAGTAATAGAGGGTTGTGGCTGCGGACGACAATGGTCAATGGCGAAAAAGTAGCATGCTTGCAATGAAAAATAAATTCAATCAAAATACGTCGAGTTTATTTTTCATAAAAAAGAACTAAAACACACTGCAAAAGAAAAACTTTATGTTGCACTCATTTTTGCATTCAATCAAACATTAATATTTTTAAAACTCTGCAAAAGAAATACTATAAAAGTATTTCAAATCAAACAACCTCTAAATAATAATAATAGAACTAGTAAGAGCAAAACTTTTTTTTCTGAATTTTATTTCCATAAGCTGATAGATTGAGCCACATTTACTAATACGAGCATAGGACCATCAAATAAAGCGTGAAATCTGCTCTAATTTTGGATCAAGTTTTGGTCGATTTTTACCTTCATTCTGGACTAAATATTAATTTCGAATTTAGCTAACTAGCTCGAATATTTAGTTCAGATAAAAATCAAGGACAATGTTGCAAATCTCTGAACAGGTAACCGTTGGATTACCAGACATAAAAGGAAGGGAAGAGATACTCAAAGTCCATAGCAAGAACAAGAAGCTTGGTAAGGATGTATCTCTAAGTATCATAGCTATGAGAACACCAGGATTCAGTGGCGCCGATCTTGCAAACTTGTTAAATGAAGCAGCTATTCTTGCCGGAAGACGAGGCAAAACCAAAATTACTCTAAAAGAGATAGACGATTCAGTCGACAGAATTGTAGCAGGCTTAGAAGGAACAAGGATTACGGATGGCAAAAGCAAGATATTGGTTGCTTATCATGAGGTCGGGCACGCCATTTGTGCGTAAGTATCTCCATCACACTTATGGACTAAGAAAATACAAGACGCTTCTCCGAAATGGATACGATGGCTTGTATTTGCAAGCAAAGAAAAATTTGAACTTTTCTTACAGGACGCTCACACCTGGACACGATCCAGTTCAGAAGGTCACACTCATCCCTAGGGGACAAGCTCGTGGTCTTACATGGTTCATTCCAAACGAAGATCTTTCTCTTATATCAAAACAACAAATATTTGCTAGAATAGTGGGAGGATTAGGTGGACGAGGAGCGGAGGAAGTTATATTTGGTGATTCTGAGGTCACAACAGGTGCAGCTGGAGACTTGCTGCAGATAACTCAAGTAGCAAGACAGGTTTTTTATTCTCTTTTTTTTTTTTACATTGAAAGGTACAATATTTTCACAAGAAAATTGCAACCAAATAAGAAATCTAATTATTATCATTATTTATTTTTTTCATATTAACAGATGGTAACCACGTTTGGAATGTCTGAGATTGGGCCATGGGCACTTACAGATCCAGCAGCGCAAAGAAGTGATGTGGTATTGAGAATGCTAGCGAGGAATTCAATGTCGGAAAAGCTTGCGGAAGACATAGACAAGTCAATTAAAGAAATCATAGACGAAGCTTACGAAATTGCAAAGGCTCACATTAGGAACAACAGAGCAGCTATAGATAGGCTGGTTGATGAGTTACTGGAGAAGGAAACTCTCACTGGAGAGGAGTTCCGAGCAATTCTGTCAGAGCACACTGAGTTACATGTGGTCATGAACAGACTATGTTCAACAAAGGAACCAGTGGGCCTGTAGTTCAATAGGCGCACAAATAAGCACATTGGTTTCAATTTAATGTTTCATTTAGTTCTTGACAACATAATCGGGTGAGAAGTTTCTGTAGCAAAAAAGGCTATTAGATGTGTTGAAAAAACCTTAATGACTTCTAAAGTGCGCAACTGATTAAGGATCATTTTCAAATTAGAATTACTAAAACATTTGAATCCAAAATTCGCCTACAATTGAAACACAATACCAAGCTAGTGAAATCTAGGTTATGAATTTGAAAATAAAGAATTATCTAAATTATTTATTTACAAAAATAAAAACAGCAAGTAATCAAATTTGTCAATTGATTTGAAACGATTATTCACAAAAGCTTGCTCAATAAAACTAAAGAGTTCAATGCCAACTAAATAGCCTTTCTTATCTTTCAATCTAGCAAACCAAAGCATGACAAACCAAAGCTATACAATCTACTAAAATTGGATCAAACTTCTTCACAAAACAGTAAATAAGATTTAAATAGAATCCCTAAACAAGATTCTACACCAACTTGAAAACAATCTATAACAATGTAAAAGCAAGAAGTATGAATAAACCATAACCAGATATCAAATAATCAAATACACAAAGATTTACTGGTTCGGCACGAGTGCCTACATCCATGGGTAGAAAAAGGGGGTAGCTTCTTTTATTAATTTGCTCAAGAAAATTTACAATGGCTAGCAATGAATGAATCTATGTAAATCTTTCAAAGGGGTACAGATTTCCTTAAAAAAATTAAAATGGAGAGATAATACCTGAGAAAGCCTCTTTGTCTACCTTTCGATTCCTCAACTCCGACGAAAATGGCCACCCAATGATGCCCTAGCCTTGTTAACCGCTTGCAAAAGAAGCTCCAAATGGAAGAGTTTAAGAACAAATATACCCTCTTTTCCCATGTAAGCTCTCCTTTCAATTCCCCTTAATCGCATAAGAAGCCCTCTCTATGGCTCACGCCTGCAAGCCACATTACGGTATGGAAATTCATCATTTTCTTTTGATCTGTTTGGACCTTAATTTGTAATTCATATATCCGTTAATTTTGAAATTTGGAAAACGAAAATTTTTGTAACAATCCCTTTATGCTTAGCAAAATATTTTAGGGATACTATTAAGTGTTAATTATGATTATATTGGTTCATCACCTATCGAAGAAGTCATAATAACATCACATATGATTTGCTCGAAAATTGAATTAGTTAAAGCAAATTATTGTATTTGATAAATTTCTTAAAAGTTAATTATATATGACTCATTTATTTAAATAGTCCGAGTACGGTTGAATAACATTTTTAAAGTATAATGATAAATAAATTATCATTTATATTTGTAAATATACTCATTTGTCATTTAACAAGTCAATCATCAAGAGTTTAATAGGTTCATTTAATAATGTTATAATTAATAATTGATAATTAATTTATTATTATTATTATTATATCAAATGCTTATATTCTAGGTATTTAAATAAATTCTTACATCTCTATTAATAAAATCTTAATTAAAATATTGAGCAAATAGTATGAGCGCCCCTCATTCAGAAATGCACTATCATTGCAAGCCATTTACTCAGAATTACTAAAAAGTTGGCTTTAATGACCTTATGCTTTGTTTATGACAGCTTAATTACTGCTTCTTAAAACAATATTTTAGTACAAAATTTAAATTTTTTGAACTAAAAAGCTTCTTTAAGAAGCAATAAGAAAATTATCTCGAACGAAACATTAATTTAAGCTATGATAGCCATTTTAACCGCAACAAAAAACTTTTTGCAACGGTTACAGATTCATTGCAAAACCGCCGTAATTGTTATTTGTTGCAAATGATATCTCAACGGTTCCTTTTATTAACTTGCACAAGAAATTTACAATGGCTAGCAATGAATGAATCTATGTAAATCTTTCAAAGAGGTCCAAATTTCTTTAAAAAAAATTACAATGGATAGATAACACCTGAGAAAGCCTCTTTGTCTACCTTCCGATTCCTCAACTCCTCCGAAAATGGCCACCCAACGATGCCCTAGCATCGTCGACCGTTTGTAAAAGAAGCTCCAAATGGAAGAGTTTAAGAATAAATATACTTACCTCTTTCCAGATGCAAGCTCTCCTTCCGATTCCCCTTAATCGCAGAAGAAGCCCTCTCTCTGGCGCACATCAGCAAGCCACTCTCGGTTCTCTTCCCAGTTCGCCTGCAGCCCTTCGCTAGCTCTCTCCGCGATTCGCTCGATCTGCACGCCGCTTCAAAGCCAAAGGCCCCACCTGCTAAATATGCAAAGAAAAGCAACACAATAAAGGGAAAATTATTAGCTCCGGGCACCGGACTACGTCGCCATCAATAAAATGTAGACATAAATTCCTCAAAAAAAATAAAATGTAGACATAGATACTTGGATATTCAATATATTTAATATGTTCCTAAAACTTTAAATCAATCAGTCAATCGTAAAAAAAAATGCAGTTAAAGCATAAGTAAAACGTATTCAAAGAGCAGTAAGAAAATGTAATCAAAGCACAGGTAAAACGCGAGTAAAATGCACAAAAAGTGCAAGTAAAGTGCATTCAACATTTAAAATTTTTAATAGATGTCTGGAGCTATATCTACGTCCGATGTCCGGACCTAATAATTTCCCACAATAAAGAGACTACACTAAAGCATAAATTATTCCGTCCGGACCCAAAAAAAATGATTAGGCCTATGAGCGTATATTTTATAATTTTTGTACACACTTTAGTTCAAATTATGTATATATTTTTAGTATATATACGTGCACTCAGAGTCTTAACGGTTCTTTCCCGTCCGAACTTCACATGAAATAATTTCTCACACTAAAAACTATACAAGAGTAGAAATTACTTTGTGTGGAGTTCGAACAGGAAGAATCATTTGAATATGTGAGTTTATACACTGTGTAAATTTGCACACATTGTGTCACTCAATATCTGTACGGTTCTTCCGTCCGGACTACGCACAGAATAATTTCTCATACATGAGAGGCTATACAAGAGAAATTTAAATTAACTTTAACATAGATTTTAAATAAAGCAAGTCCAAATTATTAAATTTAATTTAATCACTAATATTTGATTCAAATGATTAATTAACAGATGATTATATTTAGGGTGCTTTCGGGAATTTTTATTAGGTGCGGACTCTTGACGTAGCTCTATGTCCGGAGTCCATTAAAGTCGTGACACTTGGCATGAACATGTGAATATTAATTTCTATTTCGTTTTTCATGTTTTTCTTGCCAGCCCGACTGACCCGACCCAAAAATTCTTGTTCAAATTTAGGGTTTTAAATTGACACTCTTTTTAAAATGAATTACCGGGAAACTTTTATATTTTTTAGGGTTTAAGCTCAAAATATATTTTCAGAATTGCTGAGAAAGAAGAAATAAAGAAAAGCTGGTGAAGATGAAGATTGGTTTGGAGGAGGAAAAGCTGATGAAGATGATGCTATGCAAACATCCAGGAAGAGGAAGAGGAATGGTTGAAGTTGAAAGAAGAAGAGGTTGCAAGAATGATGGTTTTTTCTATGTATTTAGGGAATATGTTGGGGGTTCCAAGGGGGCAACGCCCCTGGCGAGGGTACGAGGGGGTAGCGCCCCCTAGCGGGGGTCCAAGGGAGTAGAGCCCCTGGCGGGGTTCGACCTGATTTGCAGTAGTAAAAGCGAAGTGTTTATATGTTACAGAAACTTTAAAGCTTTCTCTGCTTGTTTATATGCTGTGTACCAATCATGTTGATTTAGATGTAAGAAATATGAATAAGAAATATATAGTGATTTAGAAATACTGAGTAGTACCGAATAGTATTTATTAAAAAATATCGGGCAGTACCAAGCGGTACCGAGTGGTACCGAGCATTGGTATCGAGCGATACCGAGCATTCGTATCGATCGGTACCGAGCATTGGTACTGAGAGTTCATCGGTATAAATTTTTAATTGATATTAAGGAAAAAATTATGTTAAGTACTGTTGTTTATCATCATATTGTTTGAGATGTAAGAAACAATCATATTGATTCAGTCGTAAGAAATCTGATTAAGAAATACCGAGTGGTACTGAGTATTGGTATCGAGTAGTATCTAGTTGTACCGAGCATTGATACCAATCGGTACTGAGCGGTACCGAGTGATACCAAGCAGTATGAGCATTGGTACCGAGTGGTACTGAGCTGTACCGAGTGATACCAAGCAGTATGAGCATTAGTACCGAGCGGTACTGAGCTGTACCGAGTGATACCAAGCAGTATGAGCATTGGTACTGAGCATTGTTACCGAGCGATACAAAGCAGTATGAGCATTGGTACCGAGCGGTACCGAGCAGTACCAAGCGGTATTTAGCAGTATTGAGCATTGGTACCGAGTGGTTTTGAGCGGTACAGAGCATTGGTATTGTGAGTTCAAAATAAACAAAACATTACCTAAATGAACCCATAAAATGAGGTTTTCTTTATTTTTTCAATAATCATTTGCAATGGAAAAAACATCAATACAGAAAAGCATCTTCATCTTCCCCCTAACTGTACAGAAAAAATCTATCAATATACAAATAATACTTCAAAATTACATATTCTCCAAGTGTACAAAAAAAATTATTATTCCTTGTTTCTTCATTGACTTTTTCTCCAAACTAGTCTTCATCTTCATGGGCTTCTCCTCCTCCAAACAAATCTTCATCGGCTCCTGCACCTCCAAACCAGTCTTCATCTTCATTTTCACCTGTTTTTTCTCCTCCAAATCAGTTGTCATCTTCATCGACTTTTCCTCCTCCAAACCAGTCGTCATCTTCATCGGCTTCTCCTCGTTTATTCTTAAAATCCTAAAAAAATGTAAATGTTTCGTGATATTTTATTTAAAAAAGAGCGTCAAATTCAAAAAGCTAAATTTGAACAGAAATATTTTGGGCCGAGTCGATCGGGCTAGCAAGAAAAAAATAAAAATAAATAAATAATAAGTATCCACAAGTACAGGATAAGTGTCGGGATTTTATTGGACTCCGGACGTAGAGCTACGTCCGGAGTCCGCACCTAGTAAAAATTCTCTTTTCGGACAGCTTCAAAGCTACATTATGGTAATGGAAATTTACCACTTTCTTTGATGTGTTTGGACCTTAATTTGAAATCGATGCATCCGTTAATTTTGAAAATTGGAAAACGAAGATTTTTTTAACAATCCATTTATGCTTAGAAAAATATTTTATGGATGCCATCAAGTGTTAATTATGATTTATATTGGTTCATCACCTATTGAAGAAGTCATAATAACATCACATATGATTTGCTCGATCATTGAATTAGTTAAAGCAAATTAATGTACTTGATGAACTTCTTAAAAGTTGATTATACATATGCGCTGCAACGGTTTAAGAAGCAATAAGAAAATTATATCGAACGAAGCCATAATTTAAGCTATGATAGCCATTTTAACCGCCACAAAATTTTTTTTTGCAACGGTTACAGATTCATTGCAAAACCGCTGCAATTGTTATTTGTTTCAAATGATTTCGCAACGGTTTTCAATTACTGGGGAAGCAAAATAGCAACACTAGTTTTAGCAATGATTAAAACTAAAGATATCTTTTTCTTCCCAAAACTCCCCTCATGAAAAATCTTGAATTCGATGGCACTAAGATGCAAGCTTGCCGGAGCAACCATGCGAAACTCCCTCCACACTCCCTTGAAACCCACAAGGATATTTTCCCTCTCAAATTCCACTCTTTTCTCTCTCCCTTTCAAGGCTCTCTCTTCAAATTTTCTCTAGAAGAACGTAGACTTAATGCATGCCAAATATACTTACGAATTGCCTTGAGAAAGCTTAAATAGAGGAATTTGAAAAACCTAGAAATTTAATTTTGCCAACAAAGATTGTACAATATGAAATAGATCGTCATGTACGATTAGTACAAAATAGCCCTTTCAACCAATACGATCAGTAATGCTATGTACGATCAATTCAAGTATTTGAACAGATCGTCCAATACGATATTGAGATCATCCGAGACGATTAGTTCAACAAAAATGCAGTTCGTCCAGACCGAAAGTTGGGACGACTAAAATCGTCTCTTTTGATCGTCAAGTACGATCCAATTTATACAGTATGATCATAATATCAAAATTAATCAGTTTCGATTGACTAATAACACGATTAATTTATGCATGATTTCATAGATTGTCTAGTACGATGTACATCATCTTGGACGATTATAACAAAATCTGAAATTAAAAACATTGCCTAAATTATGATTGACGTCTACTTTTCATGATCATAAATGATGGATGATCTGGATCATCCAGTACAATTAGTTAGATGAGATGATCATAAAGTACGATATAAATCGTACAATACGATTTAGATCAAAAATTGAACTTTTAGCTTTGACTCAATCTCACTCCCCCTAAGTGTGTGTGAATGATGACCAAGAAAGTATACACCCTTACAGGAATTGACTCAAGAAATAAAAAAAATACATCAATGAATATTATATAAATCTTTACAGTATAATTTATTCTACCAAATCTTGGGCCTTGAATTTTCATTGGATGGTGCATGACATTCCTGAAATATAATTAGTACACACACAAATAAATATACATTGTAAATACAATTAGACATAAAGATGTGAGCCATAATATTTGTTATCATCAAAAACATGAACTCGTGAGCTTGAGTTGCAACAGATGAGAGATCATGATATATTAAAACAACGGTACAAACAGCAAGTACAATTTTAAAAATACTTTTTGTAGCAGTTTTGAGAATGAATGCTGAAAATAATAGTTGTAATTTTAGCAACGATGAAAATCGCTGTCTATATTAATCTATAGCGGCAGTTTGTGAATCTCCACTATAAACCGCTGCGGAAACATCAAATTCTTTATAGTGAAGATATCAACTAATCAAATGCCTCAGTGACTCTGCTCTTATTATGCTTGTTCATTCAAAACTTGTCCTTGAGTTATACTAAGGCTTCTTGGGACAACTTTTTTATTGTGTTATAAAAAAAAAAAAAATAGTACAAAAATTTTTAGTTCAAAAAACTTTTATACTGAAAAATTACTTTGAAAAGTTGTAAAAAAACCGCCTCTAACAAAATCTAAATTATAATGGGAATAATAAGTTAGAAGGATGCAGAGAAGTAGAATGAAGGAAATTTGTCAGAGTGACCAATTCTAAGATTTTTATAAAATAGACTTTAGATAGGCAATTATGTCTAATTGTACTGTAAAATTATGTAAACAAAATTTAGCAT